GGGCCCTGGCCAGAGGCCCTGGCATCACATCTGAACTCCACCACCACCACCATGAGGGTTATCTTGAGCAAGGTTCTTAGCCCCTCTGAACTCTAATTCTTTATGGGATAAAAATAGTACTGACCTCACAGGGTTATTTTAAGAGTTAAACTTCGTAATGTACTTAAAGTCCCTAGTTCTGTATCTGGCACATTGAAGGTGGTTAATAAATATTAATGGTTTTTATAGGAGAATATTTACTTAGTATTAATCACAGTTTTGTTTCTTTATTTATATTTATTTATTTATTCTAACTACAGTATTAATAAAGTACTGGGAAAAATTAAAGTCAAGCAGTATTTTTTACACAATAATAACTCAGCATTTTCTTTATCTTTTTTTAGAGATTTTATTTATTTATTTATTTGACACAGAGAGAGAAAGAGAACACAAGCAGGGGATGTGGCAGAGGGAGAGGGAGAAGCAGACTCCACACAACAGGTAGAGCCCAGTGCAGGATTCAATCCCAGGACCCTGAGATCATGACCTGAGCTGAAAACAGACACTTAACCAATTGAGTCACCCAGGCAATCTCAGCATGTTCTTTAGCCAATAAAATATCTTAAAAGAGTATTGAAAACCCCTATTTTGATAACAGACACCAGAAACACCAACAGGTCTCAAAATCAAAGTGTAAACTTTGCCATCCAAAACGCCTGCCTCCAAAGGAGGCAATTTCACTCCTGACATATAAAGAAAGAAATTGGGTCTTTAGGTTCTTCTGTTATTTTGCCAAGTGTATGACTGACTCGAGTGTACAAAGCCACTTTATTGAAATGTAATTCACTTATCGTAAAATCCTCCCATTTGGAGAGGGGCGTTTGGGAGTTTTTGGTATATTTGCAGTGTGGGACAGCCGTCACGACAACCCAATTGCAGAACATTTTCATCACCCGAAAAAAAACCCCGAACCTACTAGCAGCGATTCACTTGATTTGGAATCTATCCATTCTTCTACCAGTTTTTGAACATTTCCGTATCTGACAAGTTTCACTCCTATTTCCACCGCGGCCCCTCCCTGGCTTGTTTCCTCTTCCCGCTCTCTGCTCCTTTCATCTGGCACATCTGCACTTTTCGGTTAGCCCTGCCCCTGCTTTGTTTTGTCTTTTCTCCCGTGGAGAGCATCTCCAGGCCTGGCTCTTCAGGCAATGCTCACAACAGCACCGCAATTCCCTTGCCTGAATCCATCCCCAGGTCCCAGCGCCTCCAGCCTTGGCAAGGCGTGGGCAGGAAAACCATCCCACTCAGCCAAAACACCACGCCCACACAGTTACGACTCTGGCACAAAACACATGTATTGGTCAAAACTTTAGAAACCAAGAGCTTTTTAAAAGCACACGGCAGGGGCGCCTGGGTGGCTCAGTGGGTTAAGCCTCTGCCTTCAGCTCAGGTCATGATCTCAGGGTCCTGGGATCGAGCCCCACATCGGGCTCTCTGCTCAGTGGGGAGCCTGCTTCCCCCCTCTCTCTGCCTGCCTCTCTCCCTACTTGTGATCTCTGTCAAATTAAAAAAAAAAAAAAAAAAAAGCACACGGCAACACATCCAAAACAGAAAATATAAAAATTCACCATCTCCTAAAAAGATGTTAACAAGAAATAAACTATTATTTCATAGTTTTGAGCCATATAAAGGAGACCACTTCAACAAATGTCTCCAGTTTTTATTTAGAGAATAAAGCTGTTTCTTAGGAGCACCATGCCTAAAGGCCACTGGGATGCTGGAGAAGTCTCCATAGCAATTTATGTTTTCCATATGCTAAGGGAGACAGTCATTTGAACCCTCTGCATGTCCAGAGGAATACAAGGGAGGATGGCAGAGGAAAAAGAAGTCTACGGATAAATCTCCATCTCCCGCTGGATGTTATTACCATGAGAGAACAAGGGCCAGGCAGAGACCATAGAGACAGAGTGAAATGGGACCTTAGAGATCATTCACTCCTAAGAGGAAGGAGCTCAGGTCACCCAGCCAGTTAGTGGAGGACCAGAGGCTAAAGGATTATTTGAAACAGAAGCCCCTGGAAGGTAGAAAAAAATAGCACAGTTGTGTTTTCTGGTTGTCTCTGCACGACTGTACCCCACACTGGACAGTTGGAATCCAACCAGAAAGACCAAAGGCTCCAAGCAGGTCTGGAAACGGAGGAGGGGAGAATTACATGGCTCTTGGGACTACAAGAAGGTCACATTTATCTTTATCTCAAGAGAGCCTAAGAAAATTCTTAACCAGAATCTAAGAGCTGTAAAAAAAATAAAATAAAATAAAAAAGCACTCAGATGAATGATGCTAGAGCCAGAATGGGGTTACGGCTGTCAGCAAGGTGACGGAAGATTCGCTTCCACCTCTGAGTAACGGGAGTGCTCTGACCTGTATTAATGGTCACAATGTGACTGAGGGAAAAATCCTCTGCGGCTCTGTCTCTCACGGGGACATAAAGCACCTTGCCTTATCCTGCTGCTCCATACACAAGGCTCTAGTGGCTTAGCTTGTTGCTGAAAACCTTGGACGTTCCCCAGTGCACATACCCAAAATAGCTCTTGCAGAAGGGAAAAATCAACAATGCAGCGGACCAGTCTCAAAAAAGAAAAATGTTCCAGGTCCCAAGAAGACAGAGCTCACTTCAGAGTTGTTAAATCCCTAGCATTTTCGGAGTATCTTTAATCACGCTCCATGTTTGGACACTTTGGTTTTACGGGAGGATTCACAGGTGGGTTCATCAACAATTATCGAAGAGCCGTATCTCCTCCTGTTCCATCAGGGCAGAGGAATATGATCATGGAGTCGGTGTCAAGCCACGTTAAGCCTCTGGGGTTCAACTGCTCCATCTGCAGAAGGACTCATGCCAGACACAAAGCCCCTTCTGGCCCTAGAACTTGACTTCCACTGACACAGTCTATCAGACTTCTGGGTTAGAGCCATAAGCGTTCGCTGAGAGAGCACCGGAGGCCTGCGCTCCGTCAGGGGTGGGACCCAACCAAGTGAGACACAGATTCCACCAACGCGGAACCCATCCGGTGAGCAAACTGTGGACGGAGTTAGACCTTCGCCTTCCCACACATGCTGTGAAGGCACTAGGCTGTGAGTGTTTGGCAAGGATTAAGTAAAATAGCTGACATATAAGGTATTTGACAAACCCCTTGGTTTTAAATATAAAAAACTGCTTCAGTATTTGCCATCCCAGAGAAACTGGCACAACCAGTTGGTTATATAGTAGTTGCCTTGTTGTTGGTTTTTTCCTTTAAAAAGATATACAAATTCTATTTGAAGTAACTCTTCCAGCCCCAGAAAGACATTTTATCACTTAGTTTTAAAAAGACCAATAAAGGGCTCCCGGGTGGCTCAGTGGGTTAAAGCCTCTGCCTTTGGCTCAGTCATGATCCCGGGGTCCTGGGATCAAGCCCCTAGTCAGGCTGTCTGCTCAGCGGGGAGCCAGCTTCCTTTCCTCTCTCTCTGCCTCTCTGCCTACTTGTGATCTCTGTCAAATAAATAAATAAAATCTTTTTAAAAAATAGACAGATACAACTGGCAATCATGGGCTACTGGAAAACAACAGCAACGGACAAACCAATCAACAAATCCCATGCACAGTGTCTCTTCTCTGAGGAAAAGAAGACAGAGTAACGGCACCCGAAATGCATTTTTCCTATTGGTCACAAACCTTGGCAATTTGCATTGCGGGTGTGGTGGTTGGAAGAGATGCCAAGTTACAGAACTGTGGACGCTGCATCTCATTCCAAGTTTTGTGCTTCCCAGGACAGAAGTGTGGACCTTCTGCTGAAGGAAGGGATTGTGCTTTTAAAGCTATGCATACAAGAAACGCTTACCCATCGTCCCTGAAGTATATATACTTTGTCTCCATAGTCCTAGTGAAGGGTTTTGACAAGTCATGTAGCATCCCTTGCCCAGGTTCCCCTGGGGAACACAGCAAAACTGGCTGGCCTTTCTAAGCACCGAAGCTGCAACCTTCAATGTGAGCATAATTGACTTAGCTGGATATGGATAATTTCAATCCTTCTAGCTGCGAGACAAAGGAAATGACTCAGTCTGTGCCCACTCTGCAAGAGGAACAGGAGACAGAAATGTCCAAATCAAATCATAAGTGCACATTTTCTCAAGGCAATTAGTTCAGTTTCTCTTACTCTGTCCTGGGGTTACTTTTCTTGCTGTTGCTGTTTTTGCTTTGCTGTTTAAATTTTATGTGCAATTGCAGAGTGGATGAGAATCTTTAAAACAGAGGCACTCTCTGTCACACTGCGTTAGCGAATACCATGTATGACCCACATTTGTGCTATAGCAAAAATTCATGTCCAAATCTTCATCTGCAATCTCTAGGACTATAAAGGAAACTTCCTACTATGCTTTGACTTTATGAAAGGACTTCTGGCTGGATTAAGACCTCTGGAGACCCAAAGAAAGAAAAAGAGATAAAAATCCCTAATTTGTACCTAAAAATAAGATTTTTACAGATGCCAAAATTAAAGTTGCTGATGTCTGGATTTTAGAAATGGCAAAATTCGAGATAAATTCATTAGAGCAAAACTTTTCTCATTTGTAGTGTCTCTGTTTCACTACATGTGGGCTTTAACAGCATCCTCGATGACCCAGCTGATGCTGGGGGCGGCGGTCAGCTTGGCCCCCATTACCAAGTAGGAGATTAAACATCATACCTTCATGAAACAAAGCACGTGAAATCACCACTCTGTGTCATAAGCGCTTAACAAAGCTCTCTAAAGGAATGAAATTCATGCTTTAAAAAAAATTTTTTTTTTAATTTGCCTGGTCCAAATTAATTTTTTTTTAAGATTTTATTTATTTATTTATTTGTTAGAGAGAAAGCGCACAAGCAGGCAGAGTGGCAGGCAGAGGCGGAGAGAGAAGCAGGCTCCCTGCGGAGCAAGGAGCCCGATGCAGGACTCAATCCCAGGACCCTGGGATCATGACCAGAGCTGAAGGCAGTGGCTTAACCAACTGAGCCACCCAGGAGTCCCCATGGGTTTTTTAATAACTTAAAAGTCTCTAATTGTGGTGGTTAATTGGCCTTACGAAGACTGACCCCTAACCAGCTAGGGTGTGTCATTTTCCATAAATGGTGCTCCTTTATGCCTTGTTAGTATTGAATAATACCAAAAAAGGATTTACAATCCAATTTTCTGCATCTGTTGAAAACAGGTTGTGCCCTATTCTCTGCTTTGATTATAAAATTGGTCTAATTTGAAGGCCATGGGTCAGTGGACTCCAGGATTGCTCAACCAAGGTGAAGCCAGAGTGATGCTGGCCAAAACCACCTCAAATGGAACCATCAGGGAGGTTCACTTCTTCCTCTGTGAAATGCTTTCCTTCTCAAGACATTACCCAGCATGATTGTCTGTCTGATGCTGAACACAGTTCAGACTCTAGCCCAGGGCTTGACGTTTTAACAATCTGAGGCCTGAAGATCTATTACTAGTAAGTTAGAACTCCGTGCAGGTGTCCTCAAATACTTAGAGTGCAGCAGGGAGAGAAGCAACAAACAGCAGTGGAGATCATCTGGAAACTAGACATTCTTCTTCCTTAAGGCAATTGACAAGACTGACGGACTGACTTACTTACTTGTCAATTACTGTTCTGAGACAGACCCAGCACATTCTCCCCTTCTGAAAGAGGCTCTTGTCTATAATACGTTCGTTCTATTGTAAATAAAGCTTTAAAAATTCTTCACCTTAAGGCAAAGATGTTTGTGGGTTCATCTATTAATACATTCAGTAAGCAAGCACTTATCTTGTGCGGGACCCAGGCACTAGGGAGAGGTCAGTGAACAGGAGGAACAGGGTTCCCACTCCCGTGGACCAGACAACTCTAACTGGACACATTACAACCGGAGAGGACACTTTCTTTCATAGCTGGTCTTACTCAAAGAGGCCATTTGGGAAGGAAATTAAAACCATTTCTAATACCATGAAAAACTTTTGGAATTTTAATGTTCTAAAGCATGTCTCCCAAAAGACCTTCTTGTCTATATAGCAAATGAACATATAGCAAATGAACATTTGCTCAGAATTTCTGAGCAAATGACAAGCATGAGCATTTCTAAGCGTGAATAGAAATGAGGAGACATGCTCTCATCCACATGGGTTTCCAGATGGTAGATTTATCCTGTTTCAAAACCTGTACGGAAATTCTGCACTATTGTATGAAAAGGTGTTGGGTGAGATGACCTAAAGGATCAAGTTATCTAACTCTGAAAAGTAATGTTATTCACCCAAAAAATTCTCTGTTCAAGCAGGAAAAAAAAAAAGAAAGAAATGATCTCCTCTAGCTCGGTATGGAAAATTAGTTTACACACTGTCTCCTAAGTGTTTCAGCTGTGCTAAACAAGAGCTGTGATACTTCATGAAAACACCACCTTAAATTCTTGTAATTTGGGTAAAAGGGTCTAATTGTTTTTTTAATTTTTTTTTTTTTTTTTTAGCACACAAATAATCCTAAACCCTTTCTTAACACGGGAAATGCTTGAACCTTCCCTAATGAGGATTATCCAAAGGGTTATGGTCCTCTCCCTCCTTCTCCTACAGTCACCCACTGTATTTTTATCTCCCACGGATACACATTAACATTTGTCACCATAAATAATACTTTTCAGTTGTAATCTTGATTCCAAAGTGAAAGAAAAAAAAATCCTTATTTAAAATGATGTATCCTCCAATGGGATGTTCTCTCGTCCTCTGTATGCCTTCTAAGAGTAGTTATCTAAAAATGAGAGTTTCATGCTCTGAGATGCCATACTTCCTTTTGTGGGCCTCAAATAGCTTCCTCAGCTCTTCCATATAGGTCTGATGCAACTCCTCAATCTGCTCTGGGCTTGGGTGCAGGGTCTGAGGCACAGGGATTGGACGGCCAACTGCAAGAAGAGAGAATGCATCTGAAGTAAGGAAATGAAACCACTCCACCTGCACCAGCTGCCTCCCACGGACGGCCCGGGAGAGAGAGATCGGCCACTCAGAATCCGCCTGCTCCAATCCATGGTTCATTTCACTGGCTGCCTCCAAGAGTCACACCATCCCGTTTGAGAACCAATAAAGAACTTTCCTTCTCCGCAGTCGCTGCGGTGGAAAGCCCCTGGTGGTTTTGACTCTGAGTCAAGTGAACTACTGGGCTGAGCACAGCTGTGAGATAAGAGGGCATAGCTGTGTATGAACATCACCAGCCCTGTCCCTCTGGTACGGCTGGCAGCCCGGCCACAGTGCCCTATTGTGACCGACTGCGAAGCCTTGAGTCATCAGGCATCGGCCCTCTCCTCTAACTCTTTTTAATGTCATTCTAAAAAATTTAAGGAATGTGTATCTTCACAGCTAAGAATCCATATTAGAAGACACACACAGGGGTGCCTGGGTGGCTCAGTGGGTTAAAGCCACTGCCTTCAGCTCAGGTCATGATCCCAGGTCCTGGGATCGAGCCCCACATCGGGCTCTCTGCTCAGCAGGGAGCCTGCTTCCTCCTCTCTCTCTGCCTGCTTCTCTGTGATCTCCGTCTGTCAAATAAATAAATAAAATAAAATAAAAAAAAAAAGAAGAAGACACACACAATCACAAGAGTCCCACTCTTTGTTAAGAGTGGAAAACAAAACCAAGCAGAAGTCTCCGTAGAAAATTTCTTAAGTAAACCACAGAACGTTCATGCAACAGGATCCTAGGCAGTTTTTTAAAAAATGAAATTATATGTGTACACACACACACACACACGCACATCGAGGTCTAAAATGTAAGAAGTGGGGAAAAAAGTTGTGAAATAATACAGTAGGATCCTATTTATGAAAAGGTATTTATATACCAAGGTGCATCATAAGCTTTAGCGCATTTAAAAAATCTAGAAAGAGAGACTAATAACCATTACTTCTAGGAAGGAAGGAAGGTAGAGGTGGGAGACTTTTCACTTTATCTGTATTGTAGGAATTTCCTACAATGAGAATGCATTTGTGTTGTACCTATAATCAAAAATGAGCTAATTATTATTTAACCTGGCAACTCTATACATATTTAAAAAGGTGTTTAGGAGCACCTGGGTGGCTCAGTAGGTTAAGCCTCTGTCTTCGGCTCAGGTCATGATCTTAGGGTCCTGGGATGCAGGCCTGCGCCAGGATGTCTGCTCGGAGGGGAGCCTGCTCTCTGCCTGCCTCTCTGCCTACTTGTGATCACTTTCTCTGTCAAATAAATAATTTTTTTTAAAAAACATCTTTTAAAAAGATGTTTAGATTGTGTCTCAGACTGTTTGAAACTACAAGATACAGGTGGCTTTGGCACCTGCTTTCCTGGGTCCTCCCGGCTCACTGCAACCCTGCAGCTTACAGATGCCAAGAGTTGAAAACCTACAGATGTTCAGGGACCTGCTGGGCAGCAAATGGCTTCTCTTTCCCCCTCTATTAACTTGGGCATGAGGCCAAGTGGGGCCGTGGGTACTAGAATGGAACTCAGAGGGGAGAGAGGAGGTTTCCTCTGGCCCACCCTAGGTTGTTCCATGCTACATCCAAGGTTCAAATCCATGTCAGTAACAGAAGGTGGTGAGTTAAGAGAAAACCAGGCAAATGTTAAGGCACAGAGAAAGAAGGAAGTGATAAATGAAATCAGTATGGGACGTAAGGGGGCACAGAGCAGAGTGATATATGTATATATATATATAACATATATATATATATGTTATATATATGAAATACATTTTGTTACATATAACAAATGTATTATTAAGAAGATTATCTATGTAATGTTGCAGTAAGGAGATATATACAGACATACATGGTAGATACATATCGCCTTATTGCAGTATTAATATTCTCCAATTGCTAAGTTTTTAAACAGTTCCAGCCTCAAGAATCTCCCATACAGTTCTCTTTTGATAGCCTGAATGTCAAATTTACATAGAGTAGACATCAGTCCTTTGTAACCCAACAGAAAGAACTGGAACTGTCTTGCTGTCAGTTGTGGTTGGAAATACAGAAGAGGGGAGGCTAATGGGGTGATGGGGTGGAACAGGAAGGAGCTGGTACAAGACAAAGACCACTAGACTAGACCAGAACACTGAGCTAGGCAGTAGCTTCCTCTCTGGTCTTATCACGTGCATAGGATAAAAAAGTAGAACTCAATGATCTCAAAGCCTCCTCCTCACTCTGACCTTTTTGTTTCAAGAAAAAAAAAAACAAAACCCTGAAATATCTACATGTGAATTGAGAATCTATCAGGCAATAGCAATCTACTAGCAAATTCACAGTTTTATAGACCTAGCTTCTGTTAAGTGAAATTGACGAAAAAGGTCAAGTGCAACTATTCAGAGTGGGGGGGGGCGTTAGAGACTTAGAGGTCTGAGAAGATGAAGTGTGTTGTTTCCAGCTTAATTAAGACACATGAATTCTGAATTATTAATTAAGTCTTACTTCCTATGAAAGAAGGAACTACTTCCTCGTTGCATACAGCTAATTTCAATCCTGTTCCTTTCTTAATCATGGGCTCACTATATTTCAGACGGTTCTTCCAGAGAGCTCAAACATGCCCATGACTTCTCTTTTAAAGTGTGAGATGGGCAGTTTCATCCTTGCCCTTCTCCTGTTTACCTGTAGAGAAATGGAGATGCTGGAAATTTCCAAACTACCCCAAAAGAACTGGAATTCAGGAGGTAAAACTGGTTCCCCTCCCTCTCCTACTAATCCAAAATTGGACTAGAGAGTAAGAAATCATTCTCAATTACTTTTTAGGAATAACGACAGAGGTCACAAAACAAATCTGAGAAGGGTCCCCAGAGCCCTAGAAAGACCAGTATTCTCCCACCCACCCACTGCCAAAAAGGAGACTTTTTTTTACTACTAAGGAGAAGAAAACAAAGCTAAGACTAAGTTAGCAGCAAACTGCCCTGTAACTCTCTTTACAACACAAAAGAAAAAAACAAAAAAAAAAAACAAAAAAAAAAACCAGCTGCATCACGCTGCTCTTAGAAACAGAGCTCCTTGCCCTGGAAAAATCAGCCCACATCTCCTCGTGGCAGAGTCAGGAATCATCGTGCTCCTGTTTCTGTTTCAGTGCTTTATTTAGCTGGCGTGCCCGTTTGTTCCATTTTCCAATTCCATCAAGCAATTCAAGATTAGTTATGCACTTAGGGCCTCACACAGCAGCCTTGCCCTCATTTCTATGGTGCTGTGTTGTATTTACCTAAGATGAAGAATGAGCAGCTTCATGGGGCACTGTGCTCATGGCCGGAGAGAAATTTGGAAAGGGGCATCATTTTCTTCACACCAAGGCAAAGAGTAGATCTTTTACAATAAGGAATCTTTGCTCTATTTTTCTTTGATTATGAACATTCCACAGAGTTTATATCTCTAATAGTCCCACACAGGAATTAGGCTTTTCCTGGATGCTACACAGCTGTACACGAGACAAAGGCCAGTCTGTTGGCACAGGGGGTTTGGGAAGAGTCAAAATGTGGGTGCCAATGAACCTGGGTTCACTGAACCTCAGACTCATGGTGCAGGCTCAAATAGGCCAGATGTGAGGAAAGAGAGAGAGAGAGAGAAAGTGTGTGTGCTTCCATACACATACACACTCAAGAACATTTACTGAACACTTAATGGGCTGTATTGGATACCATGCTAATCCCCCTAACATTTTTATCTCCTGAAATCCCTACTTTACATTTAAATTTAAATTAGGTTCCCTTTCCTTTCTTTGTATTTCAGAGAATCCCTTGGGCCAGCTTCCCCCCCGCCCCTCCCCCATCAGGATATAATAATGACTTGAAATATAAGGGACCACTTTGGTCCTCAAGTGGTTTCAAACCAGTTTTATTTTATTAAAGTACATTCCTTTCCCTATCTTTATGTTAAAAAAATTCAAAATTACAGAACAAATAATGCAATAAGTACTTGCATACTCTTCCTCTAGACTCACCGGTTCTGAACATCTTTTGCACACACCCCTGTGCGTATATACATATGTATTATTTTTATTTTTGTAGACCTGTTTGAAAATAAGCTGTAGATGTCAATCGTTCAATAGCCTTATCCTCTCTAAATATTTTGGCATGAAGTACCTAAGAGCAAAAACACTGTCCTTTTTTTTTTTTTTAAGATTTTATTTATTTATTTGATAGACAGAGATCACAAGTAGGCAGAGAGGCAGGCAGAGAGAGAGAGGGAGGAAGCAGGCTCCCCAATGAGCAGAGAGCCTGATTTATTTGACAGACAGAGATCACAAGTAGGCAGAGAGGCAGGCAGAGAGAGAGAGGAGGAAGCAGGCTCCCCGATGAGCAGAGGGCCTGAGGCAGGGCACGATCTCAGGACCCTGGGATAATGACCTGAGCCAAAGGTAGAGGCTTTAACCCACTGAGCCACCCAGGCCCTCCAAAACACTGTCCTTTTTAACACTATTATCATACCCAAGGAACTTAAACTCATGTGATATTCTTTTGTACCCAATCCACATTCCAACTTGATGAGTTGTCTCAGTGATATCCTTAACAGTTGCTTCTCCCTATGACAGCTGTTGTGTCTTTGGATACTCTCTCCTTTTGGTCTTTTACAACATCAGTATTTTTGAAGAATCCAGGCCAGCTGTTTAATACAATGTCTCCCAATCTGGGTTTGTCTGTTTCCTCACAGTCTGATTCAGATGAACACTTTGGCAAGAATACTTACACAGGGAGATGGAAACACATTTAATAGCTCTCAACACATATGCATAACTGGAATATACTCGTGATGAAACACACCAACCCAAGTTGACCCATAAACCACTACCTACAAACCACTGATCTACGTTCCTCCAAATTGCTCATGTCATAAAGACAGAAAGGAAGTTGAAAAACAAATGCAGTTTGAAGCAGGCTGAAGAGATGTGGAAACTAAATGCAAAGTACGATCCT